GTAGAGGAAGAGTGAAGCTAAATCCCTCTTTAAAAATGCCAGCACACAGCAGAGAAGCCAGCCACATGCACGAAACAAAGAAAACTATGTTGACAACAGGCTTCTGTCTACTTTCCAGCTGCGCTTCCTTCCTCGACGACTGAAACCGAGGCAAACACGGTGAACGTACGCGCAGACTCTCATTCACGTCTTTCCCGCTGTATTTGTCAGTCCTCAGTTTCCATGGTAACAGACAGCTCCAGACAGGCGGTCTTTTAATGAGCGAAACACTCAGAAACACCAAATCTGTTCGGCGAATCGGGTCGAAACAACTTTGTGGGTCATTAGGAGCCACCGTGACGTCGCTTCATGAGGACTCTAATCCAATCGCGGTAAATTGTGCGTGAAATCTGATGACGTCGCCTTATGTTTGAAGCACATTTTCCATTTTCTGTCGATGTGGCACAAACGCAACCTACATTCATCTAACTTTCAGCTGAGTTGGACTCTGTTAAACTCTTCTATTGTGCGGGGGGAAAGGGATTACTCTTCACTCTGCTGTGGAAGCGCTTGTACTCGCTTTGTATTTCCCCTTGATATCTGCCCCCGTTTGTCTAAATCAATGCCAGTAAAAGCCCTTCAGCTTCAATCACATCACTCCCGAGTATTTTACCAGTAATCTAATCGCCCTCCAATGGACACCTGCACGAGCACACGCCCGGTTCGTGCGCTCGCATGGCCGCAAAAAAAAAACTTGTTCGCAATCAGTTTTGTGCACACACACAGTGGAAGTGGAGTGAGTAAGGCCAGTAGTTAGATGATCTCATCCTGAGACGCTGAGAGGATGATGTCAGATTTTAGATCAGAGCTCTCGTGCTGCTGCTGCTGTGAAGCTACTGCAACTGTTTGGGTTTTTTTTTTTTTAATAATCCACGAGGGTTTGCAGGGCTGTTGTGTGTTTGTGCACTGCAGACTTTTCATTAAGTTTGCATGTGTGATTGCTTCAAAAATATCCCGTTGAGATCATGTTTAAGTCGATTATAACAAAGAGCTGCATCTGTTTTTTACTTGTATTTATTAAAATCTGAATCTGTTTCTTCAGTTTTGGGGGTCTGCAGGGGTTTTATTCCTTCAAGACTGAGGGATCAGATTTGCCCCATTTCTCTTAATGGTCCCTCTTCAGCTACCTTCATGTTCTTTAAAATGTGCGATTCTTCATCCAGAGCTTTTCCTCTTACCTCCCTCTCCTCCCACCTTCTCCCATGGGTGTTCCCAATCTGCTCCCCTCTTCCACTACTCGGTCTTCCCTCCTCGTTTTCTCTCAGCTCAGGCTTCTCCCTCTTTATCTTTGTTGGTCGAGAATTACTGAAATCACTGTTTGATCTTTTTTTTCTCTCTCTCTCTCTTCCCCTGATGATCTCATTTCCAGGATGTGTGTGATGTGTAATGTCACACATGCTTTTTACCGACAGGGGGGGAGGCAGGAGAGGGCAGGAGAGGGGAGGCAGCGACAGCAGGACACACCCTGATGCGACCTCATCCATCCCTCCTCCTCCTCCTCTCTCTGCTCCGGTGTTGTTTCTTTCATCCCGTCGCTGGTGGACATCGTGGTGACATCATGTCGTTGGTGTGAGCTGAATGCAGGATCAAAGGGCAGCGACAACATCACAGCTTTTCCTCGGTGTTCGTCCTCCATCCTGCAGCTGCTTGTTATTTCAAATCTGACTTTATTCTTATTTTGTGGTCCTTAAAAACATAGATATTTTGGTGGTATTGGCGTCGCCACACTGTAAAAACAAATTCATAACAAGACAGTGACAGTCTGGCAGCGAGGGTGGCAGAAGAAATAAATAAATGAAGAAATGATGTAACACTGTGACATCCCAACACTGTAAAAACAGTGACAGCAGCAGCATGTATCCGTAAAAACTATGTTTTGTTTCCTCTGATTTAAATGAAGTAAAACTGTATAATTTTAAGGTCATTAAAAAAACACATAAATTAATATTCATTTCTGTGATTTTAGTAGATATCTGTAGTTTAGCAACACTGAAAAAAATCTGTAAAATAACCTGATAAAAAAAAATTACTCACAATTTTTAAAATCCTTCATATACATAGTTTGTCTTTGAAGAAACAGCAAATATCTGTAAAATAATAATAAATGTTAGTGATTTAAATATTAGAATGAAAAACCATTCATACAAATATATTCTTAATGTAGACATTATTCATGGTTTTGGCCTTGTTTGGTGTTTTTTTTGTTTTTTGAAATCAAGACGTCAGTTAATACAGTTTTTTGGTAAATTTACCATTTGTAAAATCTGCAAAATAACAATTTCAAAGCGTATTTTTCAGTGCCTGATACACATATCTTTTCTTTCAATATACAACAAATATCTGTAATTTTATTTTATTTTGTTTTTTGCTCATTTAAATACAGTAAAAACTATTTTACAGTTAAACATCATAAAAGAAGGAATTACTGTTTGTAAAGATACTGGTTTTTGATGCTATTTACAGTTTTGGCCTTTTTTTCATTGCTAACATGTAAATTAATACTTTTTTCTGTGATTTTACTAATTATCTGAAATTAAAAAAAAAAAAAAAGAAAGAAAGAAAGAAAGAAAGACAATCTGTAAACATAATTGTGAATTTTTTAAAAACAAAAATTCCAAGAAAGAAAGAAAAGAAATATTTTAAAAAATGTAATGTTATAACAGGACTTCGGTGTTATATTGTAATTTGTAGTGGAATTTTTAGTTTACAATTTACAGATACATGGCAGATATGTAAAGAAAGCCTCCACAAATATTACCAACCAATACAGGTTCTCAGGTAGTACTAGTCCACTGTCCACAACGAGTCCTTTTTTTACTTTTTGCTGTTTTTTCTCACTGTTTACTTACATTTTCACACAGTGTTTGATTAAGTTGTGGCACCAAAACTACTTAAAAAAGCTCCATTTTGTAGATTTCCAGGGTTACGACAACAAGAGGTCGCCACAATAAGTGAAAACATCTATGTTGCTGTGATATTTGGGCAGAGAAGACGCATGGAGAAGAGGACAGCTTTAACTCTCTGAATGACAAAGTAAAGCACACGTCATTGACGAGAGTACAAGAGCAGCTTATGACAGAGCTGAACCAATGACATCCTTCTTTTCAGACTTGTCTGCACAGTAACAAATGTCTGTAAGTGTGGTTTGAAGGTCAGTGATATTAAAATCATTTTCCATTCCTAACAAAGAAGCTTCTCCTTTACAATCAGAGCAACACGCACAGAACTAATCAGGCGAATCCATCAGTCATAGTCCGATCATCGGCTCTGACGTTAACATGTGTCTCGTGTGATTCGATCACAGGCTGACAGCTTGAAGGAAGTCTGTTTATACGGGACATTAAAATGCATCTCCATGTTCATCTCTAGGACCGCATGTGATCACATCTCACTTCGCAAAGAAACACTTACATCATTTCTGCTTGAAAAAAACACAAACATTGTTTATTTAAACCAGCGGGAGGCAGAAATATACTGTAATCTGTTGGAAGTTAAACTAGCAAGAAGAAATTTGACGTCATTGCTGCACGAATGCCCTTCTGCTTCTGTGGAGGACGTCAGCTGAGTCGGTCATCCTCAATAAAAATAAAACCAAGAGTGTGTGATGGATCTGGAAGGTTTTAAACCTGAAAGCTACGCACGCAAACATATGGCACCATATATCCACATATCTACAGCAGATCAAATCAGTTTTCTTCATGGGAGACTAACGGATCCTATCAGGAGACAAATGATGCGTTTAAACCTCCTCTGGGACAAACTTGCGGACATACTGCTGAAGAATGTGGACATATGCGGCCCAGGCAGCCTCTGAATCTGAGTGATCGGATCTCAGTGGGTCCTCAAATGCATCAAAACACATGTTAATGCACGATCAGGGCCACAGTGTGCTCATCTGTGAGTCTCACCAAAGAGTTAAACAGCCTGAAGAATGAAAATCTGTATTTAAATCAATACTTTATAGATCATTATTTACAATAATAAGAAAAAATCCACTGAAAGCAATGAAAAAAGCTGCAAATGATCATTTTTGTTATCAATTAAATGTGCAATTTAAAATGGAAAACATTGAAAAAAACAGAAAAATGTTTCAATGTTTGCTCGATTAGTGACTTAATTAACATCATCATTAATGACTTAAAAAGAAAGTGTGGTACAGACTGAGGCTAAATAGTGACAAATGAGAAAAAGGAGAAAGAAGAGTAAAGCGAACAAGTGAAGTAGCTGTAAAATTACCTGAGTAGTCATGTCAAACTGATTTATAAATCACATTTATAACAACAGGAGTTGAACCAAAGTGCTTTACAACTATACATATATATATATAAAAGCAACTCATAAAGCATGAACACAATGACTAAAAGATAAAGCTCAATAAAAATGCAGTTTCATAGAAAAAATAAAGGATTCAACACAATAAAAGATTAAATCAGGGTAATATACAAAACAATGCAAACATTTGTGCTTGCATCCTGCTTTAAAAATCAAGCATTTGTACTTTTTACAGTAGTTTTAGGAACAAATGTTGTGTTTGATGAACAGCATGTGCCTTTTCTGTGTGAGGGTTTCTACTTGTTCCTGTATTTACAGTTGGGATCTAAATAATTTAGCGTCCTGCGTGCTTCCTAGCTGGGACCCCTGCTGAGACAGACGCACAAAAACACACCAGAATATCTCACACTACTTCACCGAACTCTCTCTTATGCACAACGCACACACACACACACACACACAGAGTCCCACACTGCGCCACATAATAAAAACGCTGCTCCCACCACCCACCCTGCAGTACAACACAAAGAGCTCTCATCCCTCCCCCCTCATCCTCCCTCCGCGCCCCCATTGGCCGGCGGCCTCGGATGCTGGCAGCGTCTCCGACCAATCAGGCTCCTCCAAGGTGATGTCATGGAGGCAGCGTTGATGCTGTTGCTGATGCTGTTGCCCGGCGCCTGCATCCGTGCAGCCAGACGGGGGTAACCACCGGTCCACCATCAGCAGCAGAGAACGCCGGCACAGAAGGGGGGTGAGTCTGCAGCACCCGGCACCTCAAACCCTCACATCTGCACACATCTGCATCTCACTGGGGTCACTGTGGGTTCTCGGCTCAGGCTTATTGCATATCTGAATCCTACCTGCGTGCTTTTGCTGGCGGGGTGTAACGGGGCGAGGGTGATGCGGTGGCTCCTGCTGATTGGAGAAGGCAGAGAGGACTCGGTGTACCCACAATCCAGATAGTGTGAAACCTGTGTCATTTATTATTGATCCTCCTTATGTGCAAAAGCAGCTTTGTTTGATGCTTCCAGAGAGGCGAGAGGTGAGGAGAACGAGGGATGAAAATAAAGGAGTCTGTATGTGTTTGTGTGCCGAAAAGGTGTGTGCGTATATGACAGAAGGAGAACCACAGGAACAGACACGGAAGGGTACGACAACAGCAGGAAATTGTGATTAAAAATGGTCGAAAGTTCCAATTTTCTCTCAAATTTTTGACTTGCTTTGACACAAAAAGTCTCGTAATAATTTCACATTTACCTGTTCGACGTTCAGGGTGATTATAGTGTTTGTGCGTGCAGCTATGAGGTAGGAAAAAGCAATCTCTGCATCATCCATCCATCTAACTTAGTCCAAATGCCTCATAGAAACGTCATAGTTGAGTTTTATGTGTTATATTTTCCTTTTTTTTTGTAGTCTAATATGTAGGATGTGCAAACTTTAGTGTGAAGTTGGAACATGCTTACTCAAAATGCTCAGAAAGGTGCAAACGTCAATCGATTGGGTCGAGGATAAAGTAAAAACGGTCATATTCGTCATGTGCTATTCAGTTTTCATGCATACATGAGAAAACGTGTCTAAGTAACGCATCAAATGCTGCGCCCATGGAAACAGAGATAAGAATAAACTTTGTGGAAACATGAAGCTCAGTGCCGAATGTGAAAACCAAAAATCTGCAAAAATCTGAGCATGCCGCCAAAAACGAAATTACCATAATTTTCAAATCCTAATGTTAATTGTGCTATTGTGGGTCTGTGAGACTTTTGCTGACCGTGCAGATCCTTTAAAAGAAATATGAAGCCATGAGATTTTCTAAACTTGGACCAGAGTGATACCTCATGTTATGGATGTTTGTTGCCAAAAAAAGATCTAGCGTGAGGTTGACGTGCGAATTCGTGCTCATTCACATGCATGCACATGGATCGCAGTCACATGCAGTTATTCTAGTTGCACTGCACAAGAAATACATTTTTAACAAGTTACACAGTAGCAACGTGCACATCGTGACTTTTTGCTACTGCAGTCTGTTAGCTGGGAAACTTGTGGCTTTACACCGTCTACTCAGCTTAACTTTAATGTAACAATTCCATTTTTCAATCTACAGTTTTAAATCCTAACATTTAGTCTTTCTATTCTTCAGCGCCTGATTCCTGTTTACAACTTCACGGGCTCTTCTCCTTTGTCATAGTGAGCTCATACTACATAGCAAAATGTCAAAACTGACAACAAAAAAAAAAAAAGAAAGCCTGAATAATTGGCTAGATTTTCTTTCCATGTGTCCTTGACTTTGCAGAATGGAACTGAGACACAGGAATTTAATTTTAGAAGCATGCAGGGTCAGGAAGTGCAGGATTGCAGGCCTGGGGCGAGGCCACACTTCTGCGTTTTTAATATGAAGCTACAGACAAAACTTAGGCTAGTTTAGCTTCATACAAAGACTGGAAATAGAAGAAAACAGTTGGCCTACTTACTAGCATCTCTAATTAACTAATTAACAAGCATTGTGTACAAAAACGAGGTATTAAGGGCTCTTTTGCACTTAAACAATGTATGGCCCATTAATGATTCAGCTTCAGATGGTAGGTAGGTGATTTAGCAGTGTTTCCTGTGGCAATGCTAAGCTAAGCTAACTGGCTGCTAGCTGTAGCCTCATCGCTAGCATAAACACGAGAGCCTCAAGAAGACAAATAAGCAAATATTGCAAAAATGCTCAGATTTAAATTTTAAAGAGGAACAAAATAGAAACGAATAAGACAGTAATAATAATAACAATAACAACTTTATTTGTATTGTACATCTCGACAAAGTTGCAAAGCGACGTAAAATAAAACGAATGTCAAATTAGATAAATACTGAATACAAATTTTTAAAATCTGTAAATTTAATCATGAGAATGTGATATAACAAGATAAAATAGTTTTGTCAAGTAAACACTTAATTAAAAATTTGTATTTATTTATTTTTTTTTTAAATTGTAGCCCATTCAAGACAACAGCCGTTGCCATTAGAAAAGGAGAATGAATGACGCCACAGAAGACCTTGCAGTGTCATTTATTGTGTGACTTTACTCAAGTGATTCACCTAAAAGGGATTAAAACCTTTTAAACCTACACAACTATAAAACATATGAGGGCTGAGACCCTACTGTGTTAACAATTATGGAGAATAGTCTAATTAATGTAATATAGATTTATGATATTACAGGAAAACCCCTACGGTATTATAAATTAACTTAACCTAGCTAATATAAATGTTACAGCCAAGACCCCACAGCACTGTTAACTATGCAGATTAACCTTAGTCAAGACAAATCACTTATTACTTTTTTATTATTTTAATATGCAAACTCCTGCAATGCACATTACCTGCTCTGAAAATTGTGGACAAATGTGATCCTGCAGAGGTAATGTTACCTTCAGTAGCCGACGAATGAAGGACAGTGATCTCCTGGGACGGGAAACTCCATGAATCTCATAAAATAGTATAATGAAAAAACGTCACAGTGATTTAACCGTCAGCAGAATTTCCCATCAACACGAACCCCAAACGTTCCCTGTTGCGTAGTGAGACCTTTACAAGCTGTTTTCTCTCTTTGTGTCTTTTTGTTTTTTGTCTGTACGCACTAAAAAAGAACCGGAGCAGCTCTCACTGCTGCAGGAAGCCCAGCATTGATCTGCAGCCTGGGTGGTTTCATTAGATGAAAAGCAGCTGCGTGTGTGTGTGTTACAGTGTTCGTGTGTGTGTGTGTGTGTGTGTGTGTGTGTGTGCATTCCCAAGCAGTGCGTTTACTGCCTGATTAGCATGTGTGTGTTTGCAGTGTGTGTTTGCCCCACGGGGGGATTCATGTCAGGGTGGTCAGGTGAGCTTGTGTTGTGCAGCATAATGAGAAATGTGTCACAGGTTGTCTCATTAGTACCCCTCCGTTATAGATAGATAGATAGATAGATAGATAGATAGATAGATAGATAGATAGA